AAGCACCACTGGGGACCTGGTCCGGCAGGGAAACTGGCTTTTAAGCCAGTTTCCGGACCCTCCCCCCCAGCACTGGATCCCCTCCGCCCACTCCCTCTGTAGGAAGCAGAAAGGGGGAGGGAGGTGTCACAAGGGTCCACAGAACTGGCATGCACGGGGAACCTGCTTGAAAGCTGGCTTCCCCTGAATATTGGCTCCAGCATACTCCCCTTACCCTCTGTGTCACTTTCTATCAGAGCTGGGGGACTCTGACCAAACCTGCCCCCCCAGCACTGGATCCCCTCCGCCCACTCCCTCTGTAGGAAGCAGAAAGGGGGAGGGAGGTGTCACAAGGGTCCACAGAACTGGCATGCACGGGGAACCTGCTTGAAAGCTGGCTTCCCCTGAATATTGGCTCCAGCATACTCCCCTTACCCTCTGTGTCACTTTCTATCAGAGCTGGGGGACTCTGACCAAACCTGGCCTTCTCCACACTCAGGTTGCTGCATGCAACAGTCATCTAAAAACCAAATAACCCTGTGAGGTGTCACAAGGGTCCACAGAACTGGCATGCACGGGGAACCTGCTTGAAAGCTGGCTTCCCCTGAATATTGGCTCCAGCATACTCCCCTTACCCTCTGTGTCACTTTCTATCAGAGCTGGGGGACTCTGACCAAACCTGGCCTTCTCCACACTCAGGTTGCTGCATGCAACAGTCATCTAAAAACCAAATAACCCTGTCTCTGTTGCTCTCTGATGCCACCAGACCTGCTGCCCTTTTCCTGCCATTATTTGTACTTAGAGGGGTAACCATGTTAGTCTGTAACTTAAAAAAAATAAAATAAAAAGGAAAAAGTGGTCCTGTATCACCTTAGAGACTAACAAAAAAACTATATCAGATCATGAGCTTTTGTGGGCAACACCACTGCCACGCACGTGCAAAAGCCTCCCCAGCATCAAGCATCCAGCTCCATTTTTAACTCCTGCACATCTCTTCAGCCACACAACAGTTACCCTGTGTGAGCTGATAACCATGGATGGACTGATTTGCTTGCTCCATGGGTTTAGTACTTAGACAGCAAACTTTATCATGAAACACCAACATATGCCCTCTATGGGCCTACTCCTCCTCCTCTGAGGAATCATAGAATACTAGGACTGGAAGGCACCTCAAGAGGGCATCAAGTCCAGTCCCCTGCCCCCATGGCAGGACCAAATACTGTCTAAACCATCCCTGATAGACATTTATCTAGCCTACTCTTAAATATCTCCACAGATGGGGTTTCCACAACCTCCCTGGGCAATTTATTCCAGTGTTTGACCACCCTGACAGTTAGGAACTTTTTCCTAATGTCCAACCTAAACCTCCCTTGCTGCAGTTTAAGCCCATTGCTTCTTGTTCTATCCTCAGAGACCAAGATGAACAAGTTTTCTCCCTCGTCCTATGACACCCTTTTAGATATCTGAAAACTGCTATCATGTCCCCCCTCAATCTTCTCT